TAGTAATTTCTGATGATTTTTTTGTTTCTGTGGTGTCTGCTGTTACATTTCCTTTATCATCTCTAATTTTATTGATTTGGGACTTCTCTCTCCTTCTTTTGGTTAGTTAAGCCAATGGTATTTCAATTTTGTTTTTTCAAAAAACCAGGTCTTCATTTTGTTGATCTTTCGTATTGCCTTTTTTTTTTTTTTTTACCAGTTTTGAGTGTGATTTGCTGTTGTCTTTCTAGATCTTTTTTGGTGCATAGAGTTCATTTATATGGTGCCTTCCCAGGTTCTTGATGTAGGGACCAATTGCTGTAAACTTTCCTCTTAACACTGCTTTTGCTATATCTCATCAGTTTTGATATGTTGTATTGCCCTCTTCATTTGTGTCCAGAAATTTTTTGATTTCTCTTTTGATTTTTCCTGTGACCCACTGTTCATTCAGAAACATGTTCATTCTCCCTGTGTTTGCAAATGATTTTGAGATTCTTGAGTTGTTGATTTCCAGCCTCATTGCATTGTGGTCTGAGAAGTTGCATGGTATGATTTTGATTATTTTGAATATTCTGAGACTCACTTCATGGCCTAACATATGGTCAGTCTTAGAGAAAATTCCATGCACTGGAGAGAAAAATGTGTAATCTCTGGAAGGTGGAAGTCTCTGTAGATATCTGCTAGGTCTATTTGCCTATGGTGTTTCTTTGCTGATTTTCTTTCTTGTTGATCTGTCCATTGCTGAATGGGGTATTGAAGTCCCCCATTAGTACTGTATTTGAGAGGTAGAGTTACAAACAGTGAGAGGGAGAGAAAGAGAGAAAGGTCTTCCCTCCACTGGTTCACTTCCCAGATGGCCGCAATGGCTGGATCTGTGATAATCCGAAGCCAGGAGCCAGGTTCCTCTTCCCAGTCTCCCACGCGGGTGCAGGGGCCTAAGCACTTGGGCCATCTTCCACTGCCTTCCCAGGCCATAGCAGAGAGCTGTACTGGAAGAGGAGCAACCGGGACAGAATCCGGCACCCCAACCAGGACTAGAACCCAGGGTGCCCGTGCCGCAGGCAGAGGATTAGCCTAGTGAGCCATGGCTCTGGCCAACTCTTTCCTTCTTAACCTTTCTTAACAAGCACACATTTCTATACTTGTGATGTTTTCCATCTGCCAATTTTCTTGACTTATATTTTGAAATAACCTGTTAAAAAATCTCCAAATTAAAATAGCACTTTTAAATAAGATAACATATTGAATTTTTTTTTTTTTTTTAGAGGTAAACTGAGAGAGACATAGAGAAAGGTCCTCCTTCCGTTGGTTTACCCCCCAAATGGCCACTACAGCCGGCGCGCCACACTGATCCGACGCCAGGAGGCTGGCGCTTCCTCCTGGCCTCCCATATGGGTGCAAGGCCCAAGGACTTGGGCCATCCTCCACTGCCTTCCCGGGCCACAGCAGAGAGCTGGACTGGAAGAGGAGCAACCGGGACCAGAACCTGGGGAGCACGGCGCCGCAGGCAGAGGATTAGCGTAGCGAGCCACAAATATTGAATTTCAACCCTAGTTACTTTCAAGTGGCAGTAGTAATTAACCCAGTGAGCCAGCTGGTTTGGTGGGACTAGGAAATTGAGTTTGTAGGAATTGAAGAGTCCTGGCAGGTCAGCTCCATATTTTGTTACAAGGGTGGATCAAAGACTTAATTATTCTGTCTGGCTTACTCATGATAGAACAAAAGAGCCATCAGAAGGGTGGGATAGGTGACTTGTTTACAGAAAACTGAGTTCAAAAGGATGGAATCATCACTCCCTTGCTACACTCATGATAAGATTAGAACAGGAGAGAGAGGGGCAAAGACTGGTTGGAAGATGAGGGTGAAGGCATAGAGAGGAGCAGTTCCCAAACTTGCCTTTACTTCTCTGGGGAGAGGATGTTAAAGTGGTTCATATTTAAGGCAGAGGTAGTAGACCTAGGACAGGGGATGGTTCTGAGATAAGGATGGGTAGGAGTATAGCATTCCTGGGTAAGAGGGGGAGATATAGCCAGCAAGAGAGTGAGAGCTGGAGTTTTGGCTTTTTAGCAAGAGCTCTGGAAGTTAACAGAGTTTGAGCCGGAGAACACCAGCAGAGATAGAAGGCTGAGACGTAGGAAATCTCCTTCTACTCTTCTGAACGCTCATAGAAGTGGTAGAGATCCCAATAATGTTGGGGTTAAACTTGCTATTTTGACAGATTGTCAAGGTAGGAGACAACTGAGAGGAGGATTAGACAGAACGCAGGATGAAGAAGCTCCCATGCGACTGGTAGAGTCGGACTGGAGGATATTGTGCATCCCCGAGATCACGGCCATCTGACTAGAGGATGTGGGAACAGAGGGTGGGTTCGTCACCCAAACCCACTGTCACCTGGACATATTGTCCCTAGAGGATGTGGTGCCCAGCACCAGGACTTTGAGATAAGAGTAGAAACACAATCCATTGTAGCAGTCACCGTGAGAATTTCCTGTTCCGCATCTTGCCTCAGAATTGGGAGGGCCGGTGCGTGGATGGAGATTGCAGAGTGTTCTGTGGTGAGTTTTGTGGTTGGCAGAAATCCAGGATCCCAACACATCTCAGGTAGAGCAATGTCGATGGGAGAGCCTGGATCCGAGTCACAGCACCAATGAAAGGAAAGGCCACCTCAAAACACACCAAACATCGGAGTAGGGGAAAGGGTTTACTGGGGGAAATCAGACAGACCAAGGGGAAGGGGCGAAGAAGGAAAAAGAGAGAAGGAGAGTGTAAGAGACAGAGCGAGAGAGAAAGATCAAGAGACAGAGATCAGGAGACGGGAAGAAAAAGAAGAGCTCGGGTTCTTGATGTTTAGGATGACTCCTTGTTGTATAGCCTGCTTTCACTGTGAAATGTTGTGATCCTCCTTCCTGGGTGGGGGTGTTGTGAGGTGGCCCCTGCAGTTGATGGGTGTGTGCATGGGAGGCAAATGCAGCAGCCCCCTGCTTATATTTGAAAATGGAAGCAATCAGTATGGCTTCTCCCCACCAGCTGAAGGTCTGACTGAGGGGACGGGAACCGATGTGTGCCCAACCTCTCTGCTTGTTCCCCTATAATTTCTTTCTTTCCCTTTGGAGCTTCAAGTGCAGTTCACCAAGCTCCTCTGCCTGCCACTATCCGCGACTCTGGGCTTGCGACCTCTCACCTGGTTTGCTGGGTGGGGTGGTGCCAATCTCCTCCTTCAGTGTCTCTGCTACTCCTTTGCTAGGCCTCCATTGTGCCTCCGCCACTTCCCCTTCCTCTTTGTTCCCTCAGTGTGGACCTGTCCAGTCTCTATTGGACTCCTGGGCTTCTCTGGGCGAACTTCTTGCAACTCCATGGCCGGCTTGTATCCCCTCTGCTTATTAACTATTTTGCCCTGTGCAACTCGGAACATCTTGTTGCTATACTGCCTTCTTGTCCCACTCCTTCACATTATCTTCATGAAGGGGAATCAGGCTTTCTACATCTGTGAATTTGAGGACTTGATTGTTGTCTGTGCATAGTATCTTTATGTGCACAGTATCTTTATGCTGTACAGATGTATCAGAACTTCCAGTTTCTTGACAAGAAATTTAGCCAATGAACTGTGCCTCCATGCAGCCAATTATATCTCTGTGTCAATGTGTAGAAGCACTTGATTATTCTCAAGTAGGGTTGAGTCAGGGTTGAGTTACTACCCTAAAGTGTCGGAGCTGTTAAAAAAGAATCACATATATAGAAAGTGGTATATTATTTGAATGTGTTTGATTACTTTCTATAATTATGTTTCACAAAACTGTATGTGGGTACTTAAACATGTTTTTACCTATGGTGCATTAGAGTTTTTTTTTTTTTTTTTTCTGAATTAGGGTTGGCCGTTTTTGGAAGGCACCATCGTTAGTATCTGGGATATTAATGTGGAAGAAGAATGCAATCAATTAAAAAACAAAGCTTCAGCATGTCCCCTGAGAGAATTTATTATGTGGATATTGAATAAGAGACTTTAAAGAAAGCTTTACAGTTAGATAAAATATTGACATGAACATGTTGGTAACATTAGTGAGTCTCTAAGCAACTATATGTCACTGTAGCCAGATATTACCTCTGGGAAAAATAGCTAGTCAAAAAAGAAAAAGAACAATTTGTCTGATTAGTAACAACTGACAACTTATAGAAAGAAACCTGACCATGGCTTTTTAGCATTTATTTGTTACAGTTTAGGATGCCCATGAACAAGCATGAAACAATTATTTTCTGGCCCAAGGTTTTAAGCACTGACCTTTCATTGTCCTTGATAACAGTAATGAAATGAAGCATAATTTAAAAAATTTGGTTTCTGTGACAATATTTTAAGACTACCGCTTAGAATAGTGTGGTATGTGAGAATCCACTGTTGCATTGACAATTTAAAATAAGATTAAAAATGTGATCAATAGTTAAAAGAACTAAAATTATTTAAATAATATAGCTCACTGCTCACCCATCCCTTTACTTTGGTTAGAAGAAATTTAGAGGGGCTGGCATTGAGTTGAAGTGGGTAAAGCAGCATTGGTTCAAGACTTGGCTGCTCTGCTTGCCATCCAGCTCCCTGCTAATGGCCTGGAGAAATGACCATCCTCCTGAGAGGATGCCCAAAGTGTTGGTCCCCTGCCACCCACGTGGAAGACCAGAAGAAGCTTCTGGCTTGTCTTTGGCCTGGCCCAAGTGCTGGCTGTTATGATAATCTGGGGAGTGAACCAGCGGATGGAAGTTCTCTCCCTCTGTCTCTCCCTCTTTCTCTGTAACTCTGACTTTCCAATAAATAAATATTTTTAAAGAAATCTAGAGTAGTTCAGGGAATAAGACAATGACTATATTTGCCAGTTTTGTCATGTACAAGCTTGCCATGATTTTTCATTCATATTTTTTAGAATCATCAAAACTTTAGGCTTTATTATAACAAAATTCAATTTGTATTTCCTGCCTTGATTATAAGTTAATGAATATTCTTATACCCAACTTTATTTTTATGTTATGTTTTTCAGCACAGTGGAGAATTTACAGTCTCTCTCAGTGATGTTTTATTGACCTGGAAGTACTTACTAAATGAGAAACTGAACTTACCAGCTGAAAATATGGACGTGGTTGACCATTATGAGGAAATTAGGAAGACTTATGATGACTTCTTGAAAAACAGTAATATGTTAGATCTGATTGATGTTTATCAAAAATGTAGAGTTTTAACTTCTAATTGTGAAAATGACAAAATATCACCTGTAAGTATTTTTCAAACAATTATATTTTAATTCAATTAGATTTACTTTAATTTTAAACTATGGTATCACCAGTTATAGTAATTTGATAATGTTTTTGCTTTGGGGATTATGCCAAGATGGAAACTTTGGCTACCTGAAAAGTAGATATTACATGAGAGAATATTTAGTAATACTTTTTTTTTTTTTAGAATTTTTGTTATTGTTATTTGGTTATATAAAAAGGCAAAGAAATCAATCTCAAATACTTTATTTCTTTTTTAATTATATCAAGTATTGCTTTATGGTTTATTTCTTTGTTTAATGTGGACCTGACATATATATTGTAGAAATGATTCAAATGACTTTATGGATTAATATTACTTTATTTGATCAGAGTATCATATATTTCCTGAGAAAAGAAAATAAATCATACACTATCCAAGAGTTAACAGACTATTCCTTTTTTGCACAGCTTATTTTTTTTAATGGTGTGTAAATTAAAAAAACTGAATGGAGTAATATTCCTTGCAACTTAGTTTTGTCATTATTAGAATTCATAAACTGTTTTAGAGGAGCCGGTACTGTTGTGTAGAAGGCTATGCCTCCATCTGCAGTGTTGGCATCCCATATGGGCGCTGGTTCAAAGTTTCAGCTGCTCCACTTCTAATCCAGCTCTCTACTAATGCACCTGGGAAAGCAACAGAGAATGGCCCAAGTGCTTGGGCCCCTGCACACATGTGGGAGACCTAGAAGAAGCTCCTAACTCCTGTCTTTGGCTTGGCCCAATTCCAGCTGTTGCAGCCTTTTAGGGAGTGAAGAAACAGATGGAAGATCTCTTTTCTCTCTCTCTCTCTCCCTCCCTCCCTCTCTCTCTCTCTCTCTCTGTATCTCTGCCTTTCAGAAAAATAAGTCTTAAAAAAAAACTTTTAGAATATATTTGGACATATTTAGTTTTATAAAAATGTTGAAAAAATTGTTCTTACCATTTACTGAGTACCAATAAAATAGTAAATAGTGGTAATAACTGAATAATGTAGCTGGAATTAGAAGACATTCATTGTATTTTGTAAAATATTCAAAAATTTTATAAATTATATTTCCACAGAATCCTTGGGGATAATGTTTTAGCTGAATATATTAGAAGCCTCCACTATAGCAGTGGCTTAGAGAAACACAGAAGTGTATTTCTATAAGAGAAATACAGAGATGCAAAAGCAAGACTGAGAAAATGACTCCATAGTTCTCAGACAGCCAAGCTTTTCCTATCATTCTGGGTTTCCATGTTAGTTCCTGGCCCCTGCCCTCAAGACCATACTGTGGTCCAAAATATCTACTGAAGCTGCAGACTTAACATCATTGTTCCTTGCAGCAAGAAGTAGTAAGGAAGAGCAGTACTCTTCTCTTAGGAAGGCATAGTTCATTTGCTTCTATCTCATTGCCCAAGGCTTAGTCACATGTCTGTGGCAAGCTAAGGATGGGTGTGGAATATAGTCTTTATTCTGGGTAGTAACATGCTAGGATAAATAAAAAGACTATTGCTAAGGAAAATGGGAAGAGTGGATAGTGGTAGGGAATGTATAGCCCAACAGTTTAATTGGGCTATCATGGAAATCTTTGCTTTGTTATAACTTCTTCAAAAACATGCACACATACACATGCAGATTCTCACATATACATTTATGCTATGGTAAGGACATTTGCGAATGAAGATGGAGTTTTGTTTTTATTCTTCCATTTGCTTGCTTATAGAGAGGATTTTTGATTACTTTTTAAAAATTTTTAATTTTTAAAATTTATTTGAAAAGCAGAATTAGAGAGACAGACATCTTCCATCTACTGGTTTACTCACCAAATACCTGCAACACCTAGGGCTGGACCAGGCCAAAGCCAGCAGCCAGAAGCTTCCAATGAGTCTCCCATGTTGATGCAGGGGTCCAAGGACTTGGGCCATCTTCTGCTGCTTTCCCAGGCATGTTAGCAGGGAGCTGGATTGGGGAGTTGATCAGCCAGGACTTGAACTTGTACCCATATGGGGTGCCAGTGTTGTAGGTAATGACTTTACCTGCTATACCACAGCGCTGGCTCCTGATAACTTTTTACGTGATTTGGGGAGGCTAATCATGCTTAGTTATTGGATTGTCAGAACAACACAGACGATCTTTTGATAAACTTGTAGTATAGTCTACCTGAGGTCTCTGGACACACTGTTTTCATTGTACCTTGTGCCTCCATCTAAGTTTTCTAATAAATCTCCTCATTTGAGTGAATCAACTTACAATATGAATAATGCAAAAAGTTTTTGGAAACTGGAATTTTGTCTTGGCATAAAATATTTTTGAAATCCATGCATACTTACTTGAATACAGGTATACATTTGTTGTTGTCCATGTGGGGGATTGTCTCCAAATATAAACATGTCTCCTTTGCAGAATACCAGGAATGTAATTGGAGCTGAAGATGGTAGTACCTGAAGTAGAATATTTTTTGCATTTAAACTCTGAAATCCTAACAGTTTGGTTCCTGATACTTGTTTCTTCTAGGGAAATTTCCATCGAGGAGAAAGTGGACAGGAAAATAGATCCTTAGATTCATTTTTCAAAATCTAACCCTAATTTGTATCTGGTGTGTTAAATAAAAATATATATAAGTATATATATTTTTTCCAAAGAGTTCTGAATTTCATAATCCTTCATTTTTTAAAATTTACTATATATTGAAAAGTAGAGTTACAGACAGTGAGCAGGACAGACAGAAAGGTCTTCCATTTGCTGGTTCACTCCCCAGTGGCCACAACAGCCAGAGCTGGGCCAATCTGGAGCCAGGAGCTTCCTCCCGGTCACCCATGCGGGTGCAGAGGTCCATGCACTTGGGCCGTCCTCTGCTTTTCCCAGGCCATAGCAGAGAGCTGGATAAGAAGAGCAGCGGGGACTAAAACTGGCGCCCATCTAGGATGCCTGTGCCACAGGTGGAGGATTACCCTACTGTGCCACAGTGCCAGCCCCATGATCTACATTTTTATTACTGATACAGTTTCTTATTTGTTGTGGTTTAAATAAAGCAAGTATTAAGATAAATTAAGATAAAACTAAGATAGGGCAATTCTGGGAATATGGTAAACTGAACATTGCTTCTTTCCTCTTTATTCCCTACCTTAAAATTTGTTTCCTGAGGAACAAGAATTACAAGGCCTATGTGACATCTTGGAGCATAAGGTCTTGGATTCTAACTGGAATGTAGAGAGATTTGGTACAGCCTTATATTTTCAGGAATTGAGCACCTACGTGAAAGCCTCAGAGACCCAGGCTGACAAGCAGAAACGGTAGATCCTGAGAAAGGCCTAACCTTAGAGAACTTTGGACCCTCTGGGGAAGGTAAACAGAGACCCTCTCTGTGAGTGTGCCAGGATTCCCTAACCCTCAAACCAAGAAGGAGCCGAATGGATGGACTTCTTCCTATTAGTAAGGATTGGGAGAACACAAAGGAACTTTTTTGAGGCTTCCTTGCTTCAGCCATGACTGGCAGCCCATTTGTCCACTGCTGCTGCCTAGGCAAGGAGACCATTCATCCTTCCATTACTTGCAGAACTGCCCTCATTTAAGGTATCTCGCTAGTCAGAGCTGAGCCCAGAGAACCACTGAAGCGGAGCAAACCAACTGAGGATTCCCAGCAACCAGGGGATGAGTCAGCTGACAGCACACATGCCCAGCGAAATGGCGCTGTTAGAAGGAAAAGGCAGTGCCCTGAAAGGCTGAAAACACAACGTACGTAAGGACGTTTCAAGGATAGCACGTAAACCAGGAGTTCCCACATTGCACAAACAAGAAGGAACAGCTGTGAGGTCCAATGGCATTCCGCCAGTAACTCAGGCACCAGGTTCAAGGGCGCGCGCGTGCTTGCCTAGTGTAACGGTGGCGGGCTGCTGCCCCGGCAGGGGACAGGATGGAGCTGGAGGGGCAGCCCCTGGGTTTGAACTTGTCTGAGCAGGAGAGCCCTTCTTTCCTACGAAGAAGGCCACCCTTGAGAAAGCTCATCAAACACAGCACCCCTGAGGAAGCGGAATTCAGCTGGAGCTTGCGGCTCCCCGGAGATGCCTTGGACCTCAATGAAGAGGGTCCTGCGGGTGGGTCCCCAGTGCCTGGACACTCTTTCCCGGGCCTCCGCACCTGCCTGGCAGGGGTCAGCTGGACCACCACCTTCAGAAGGAGGAGGCTTTCAACCATCTGGGCTTCCAGCGGCTCCAGCGGGCACTCTCGGCCCGACGAGCCCCTCTCCGCTCCTGGGGGCGATCTGCCCATAGCGTCCTTGTTGGCGCAGCAGCAGCAGCGGCAGCAGGGCGAATCCCTCCACACAAGCAGCTGGCCACGAATCTCAGGGTTGCCAGGAATTTCCAACACATCCCAGAGGAAGAGACGAAACCTGAAGAAGCTGGCGGCCGTAATGGAGCGAGTCAGGCAATGGGAATGGCACCTGCTTCAGAACATCGAAGAGGCCACCCAGCACCAACTCACCGTCCAAATCAGGGAGACCCTCAAGTCCCAGGAACTTCAGGTTCACGCCAACAATCAGCATCAGACCTCCCAAGTGTAGTCCACGCAGAAACACCAGTTTTCCTGAAAACACTGTCTCTAAACACAGAACCAGATTTGACTCTTGTAAATGATTGATTCCACTTTGTCCGAGAATATTTTTTTCTTTTTAAAAACGAGTACTTACTTTCCAGCCCTGTCTTTTTCTCTGTGGCTTTTCTGTCCGGCCCAGGTGTGTGGGCCGGAAAGGCTGTCTGTTCTCCAGGATGTAAATCAAAGCCTATTGCTAGATTGGAATCAAAAAGAGGTACTCCTAAATGACATCTCAGACAGAATGGGAAAATAGGACATAATAAATTCTAAGGGTCAGAAAGGTCTAGGGTGTCCTATTTTTAAGAGACAGGTGAAAAGTTTGACTAAAATTGCAGGTTCCAGGGAAGTATTCCAGATCAAGGATGCTGTTCACCCTGGAAGCACCTGCCTTTCATTGGAGGTGCCCACAAAAGGGAGCCGTGAAGTTCCTCACAAGAGGCCTGCAAGCAGGCTGGGAGCTGGGTTAGATTTCATCTGCCGATATGCTTTACAAGGGAACTTCAAAAAGTTAATGGAAAATGGGATTAAAAGATTACTTTGGTGCAAAAGAAATAAAAATTTATACAAATGCTGTTTGTTTTTCAAGTTAGAAAACATGAAAGCATGAAGTAGCAGAAAATGTTCTTATGTAACTGCCTAACAAATAGAACTTGCAGCACTGGGGACCCTTTTTTCCGCTAAGGGCCATTTACGTATTTATAATATCATTCACTGGCCATGGAAAATTGTCAGCTTAAAAAATTTACCTGGTATAGGTTTATTGAATTTTGAGCCCTATTTGTGGTTGACTTGGCAGAACCAGAACAAATGATTTCAAGGGCCTTATATGACCAACTAGCTGGATGTTCCCCACTCCTGACAGAGTAATTCCTTTCAATTTTTATTACAGAAAAATCAACTTTTCATGAGAACTAAAAATTAAAAAAAGTTCCCAACACAGTGGGACAGTGGCACATTGGATAAATTCTGAGCCAAATTAGTATCCTGAAAATCACTCAATAAACCTTTTTTTAAAAGAGATTTATTTATTTGAAAGGCAGAGTTAGAGAAGGAGACAGACATTAATTCAATGGAAAAATATAGTATATTCTCCAAATTAATGAGGATAAAAACAGAATGGTAATTTATCAAATCAGTAAAGATATAAATTTGTAAAATTAATAGTGTATCATAGCAAATATATGAGAATTTTTATGCTTACCTCAGAAGTCTGCTTTTATTATCTAGAGACTTGGTGTTCATCTTTTTCAGTCTTAGGACCTGCCTATACGTTGAGAAATTATTTCCAATAACAAGTACATTTGATTATGTAGGCTATGTTAATATTATATTGAAAATTAAAATTGAGAAGTGTTTCAGTCTATTTTAAAAGTTGATAGTAACCTTATTGCCTGTTAACTTCAATAACATGACAAATAGCTTTCAACTTCAAAAAATTAAAAAAAATTATTAGGATAGTGTCATTATTTTACATTTTTACAAATATCTTCAGTGTAGAAAATAGCTGAATTCTCATGACTACTTCTGTTTGAAGTATTTTTATTCAAGTATATCAAGAAAATTTGGCTTCATATTGAGAAATAGTTGGAAAAGGGAAGATCTTGGAACAGATTTTAGGGACCGCAGAAATCCTTGTGCCATATTTTTAAGAGCCACTTATCTATAACAATGCACTTTGCAAATGTTCATGAAAACAATTTTTAACCAGAAAGTACTAGTGTCCTTTTATTGGGCAGCATTGTGTTTATCGAACAATACATTTTTGCTTCTAACATCTTTTATGAAAACATTGAACCACAAGACTACCTATAACAGTAAAAATTTTTTCAGTGACCTTGAATTTTGAGAAAGTTGAACAATTGTGAATATTATGAAAACCAAAGTCCTGGGTTGTTTTATGTGTGAGCATGACCTCATATCTGTAGAATTATGGTAAACCCTCTTACTTTTTAAGAAATATATATCGATGAGTTACTGCCTTTAAGAATTTGCAGTATATTGGAGGAAGAGTAATTTATGATTTCACTGGGCTTTGTTAATTCTGTTTGTATTCCCCTTCTAGCTTTATGATCAGGAATGGGCCGTGTATGTGTGCGTGTCCTATATAATCTTAGACTCTTTCTAAAGAATAGAATAAATGGAGATGTTGAGAATGGCAGGGTGAAGGCAGATGTCTTTTTATAAACTTTTTTTTCCCATGGAAATTGCTATTTTGTTTGAAATACTGTGCTGCTTGGGCCCTTAGATTTACTTGTATACATTACAAAATAAAGACTGTATTGTGGGCTATATGTAGATTAGTGTTGCTGCTAACACTTCTTCCCTACTTTATACAATTTATTTGTTAAAGACTTTTATTCTAATTAGATTATGAGTAATAAAAAAGGATTGACAGACCTTTTTCTTGACAAACCATGGGGGCTTTTGTAAGATTTTTCTTTGTTTTTAATTTTGTTCTTCCATAAACAACAGAAGGCTCAGACTAAATTTCCAGGATCATCTTTTAATTCTAAACTTGTAAAACTGAGTACAGGTGTCATTGGAAAAGAATTGAGACATTGTATTTTAAAGGTTAATACAATATACGATACCAACAAATGCCAGGTGATACTCTGTTTACCAGAACATCAATGACATGAAATACAGCTAGATGTGACTTTTTTTTTATAGTCGGCATAGCATTTTATTAGAAATACTTTCTATTTCCCATAGAGTCAACTACGGGATTTTCTGTCTGGCAGACAGTGTACGGTAGATGATGAAACTGACCTTTGTTTACCAACGTCACCAATGAGTGAGCACCACCAGGATACTGAAAAGGTACTGATAAATTGTGAATAACCCAAAGCAGAATATGATCCCTTTTGGTCACTGTGCATTTGATGATACATTTGAGTTACTAATGTTTTGTTCTTTTTAAAAATGTATTTTACTAGTTTTTTGTTTAACTAAAACATTATTTCCAAAGAGTGATAACGTTGACAGCTTGTGAGAACATGATAATTATCAGGGTTTTCGTGGTTCAAGGCTAAGGTAACAGAAGGCATGAAAGTAGGTATCATTCAAACAAAGTAGTTGAAGCTCCAGGTTGACAGTTTTTTTGAATCTTTCTAGTTGGTGTACTTTATATTTACTGTTTTAGATGGTTGATTCTTAGGAGAATATATTCAACTGAAAAATTTGATCTCTGCTAATAGGATTGGTTGTGCAAACACAACTCAGAAAAGCAGTGCCACATAATGGTTTGTTTGATCTAAGATAATTTGCCTTCAGCTGAACACTATGTTAGGTCTCTAAATATATATAGTGCCCCTGATCCCCTGCCCCGTGCCATCCCAACTGTGGAAATTGTTTATGAAAGTTTCTATGGTTAATAAAATCACCATGGACAAATGAGATTGTAAAATTATTAGGAAAAGCAATAACATAGAATTCAACATATTTAAATATCTTATATGGAAAAGGTCTAGAATATATTTACTTTCAAAACCAGGTTCTCCAATAAGTTAATGCATTGCATGAATTACCTTCACTTTTCAGGAAGCATTGCTGGGGTAGATTCTCCTCTCAGGCAGCACATTTTTTCTTTTTTTTTAGAAAACTTTTATTTAATAAATATAAATTTTAAAAGTACAACTTTTGGATTATAGCGGTCCCCCCCCATAACTTCCCTCCCATCCCTTCTCCTACTCCCTCTCCCATCCCATTCTTCATTAACATTCATTTTTAATTATCTATATACGGAAGATCAACTTAGTATACACTAAGTAAAGATTTCAACAGTTTGTGCCTACATAGACACACAAAGTATAAAGTACTGTCTGAATACTAGTTTTACCATTAATTCTCATAGTACAACACATTAAGGACAGAGATCCTACATGGAGAGTAAGTGCACAGTGTCTCCTGTTGTTGATTTAACACTTGACACTCTTATTTATGATGTCAATAATCACCTGAGGCTCTTGTCATGAGCTGCCAAGACTATGGAAGCCTCTTGAGTTCACAAACTCCAATCAGGCAGAGTGGACAGTGAGAGAGAGACAGAGAGAAAGGTCTTCCTTTGCCGTTGGTTCATCCTCCAATGGCCACCGCGGCTGGCGCGCTGGGCCGGCGCACCGCGCTGATCCGATGGCAGGAGCCAGGTGCTTCTCCTGGTCTCCCATGGGGTGCAGGACCCAAGCACTTGGGCCATCCTCCACTGCACTCCCGGGCCACAGCAGAGAGCTGGCCTGGAAGAGGGGCAACCGGGACAGAATCCGGCACCCCGACCGGGACTAGAACCCTTTGTGCCGGCGCCGCAAGGTGGAGGATTAGCCTAGTGAGCCACGGCGCTGGCCGAAAAAATATATTTTATCATTGCACCCACCGAAAAAACCCTGTGTACTTCCTGGATTTAATCGTATGCTTTATATTGATACTTTTACGTATGCCAGAAAAAGTATTAGGTAAGTGGCAGACATCTTATGGCACTTCATCTCTAAGATTCTTTGTACATTTCCTAAAAATAAGAACATAACCACAATAGCATTCAGCATACATTAAAATGAAAACTAATTTTTCCTAATATTTATTAATTTCCTTTGTTTCTTTTTTTTTTTTTTTTTTGACAGGCAGAGTGGACAGTGAGAGAGAGACAGAGAGAAAGGTCTTCCTTTTGCCGTTGGTTCACCCTCCAATGGCCGCCGCGGCCGGCGCGCTGCGGCCGGCGCACCGCGCTGATCCGATGGCAGGAGCCAGGAGCCAGGTGCTTTTCCTGGTCTCCCATGGGGTGCAGGGCCCAAGCACCTGGGCCATCCTCCACTGCACTCCCTGGCCACAGCAGAGGGCTGGCCTGGAAGAGGGGCAACCGGGACAGAATCCGGCGATTCTTTGTACATTTCCTAAAAATAAGAACATAACCACAATAGCATTCAGCATACATTAAAACGAAAACTAATTTTTCCTAATATTTATTAATTTCCATATTCAGATTTCTCCATTTATCCCAAAATGGTTTTGTCTTTTGTCACGTTTTTGCTAAGAACTTTATGATTTTATTTGAGAGACAGGGAGAACTCTTCCATGCTCTGGTTTACCCGCTAAATGCCTACCACATGTTGGTGACAAAGACCAAGTACCTAAGCTGACACCTGTTGCCTCCCAGGGTGTGTATCAGCAGGAAGCAGGAGTCTGGAGTGGAGCTGGGACTCGACCTCAGGCACTCTGACAGCCCCAGTGGTTGTCCCAAGTGACATCTGAACTGCTATACCAAATGCTTGGCCCTAGACTCTTAACTAGAAGAATCCCCCATTTTGGTTTTTTTTTTCCCTCCACTTTTTTGCTTTTTTCTGTAGTTCCTTATATTATTTAACTTGTTCCTCTGTTCGATGTGTTTCTAAGAAAACTGGAAATTAAATCTAAAACTTGCTTAGATTTAGGTTTACTGCTTTGGAAGAAATACTTTATAACTGAGGTTGAATGTTTTGTTTTGTATTGCGTCAAACTCAGGTTGTCTGGGATTGCCATGTCTCTCAAGTATAAAGATGTAGTTTTTTTCTTTGCCGTCATCAAAGACATGTGCAGTGATACTTTGGCACTGAGTAAATATCCTATTTCCGAACAGTCTTTTACCTAATGATTTTGAGCTTACATTGATGATCCTTGCCTGAATCAGTTGTTCCTTTAGCGTTTGTAGAATGGTTAGTTTTCTATTTCTCTTATGCCTTAGTATTAATTACCTGACATTTCTCAGTAAGGAAAAGCTTCATCTTTTCAAATGCAATGAAGTATAGTTCCAGCAAATGTTTAAGTTGGAGCAATTATTTGGCACAGCCATAAAGACACAGCTTGGAACACCTGAATTCCATGTTGGAGTGCTTGGGTTTGAGTCTGTTCTGGATCCTGATTACAGCTACTTGCTGATCTGCACACTGGGAGGCAGTAGGTGATAGCTCAAGTACTTGGCTCCCTGCCATCCGCATGGGAGACCTGGATTGAGTTTCTTACTTCTGGATTTGGCCTGGCCCAGGCCCAGTCCTTGCAAGCATTTGGGGAATGAATCAGCAGGTGGGAGATCTCTTTTCTGTCACTCTGTATCTTTCAAATAAAGTAAGTTTCAAACTATTAAAAATTTAAAGAAAGGTAACTATCACTACCAATTTAGGAGTTGGTATAATAGCTTTTTTTTTTATCTTTTTTCATGTATATAACTATGAACTCATACATTTGTATTTGGTGTTCTAAAATCAGTTACACTTACTAATCTTTGATGCTAAAATAGAGGGAGCCCCTTCAATTTAGTTTCTGTGTCTTTTTCACATTCCCTGTTAGACTTTTTGAACAATTTTTTCTCTGTAACAGGAAACTATCCTAAGCTTTGAATGTTTGCTTATCAAATCTGGTTCCTTTTACAGATTTGTAACTATGTTCTATTGTTTGAAATTAATTGTTCACATCTCTCTCTTTTTCCCTCCAGCTCTAAATTTTGACATAATGCTAACTAAAACCTGGTCTTTTCTCACTGGTACTTAAGGAGTACATTCCTTTTTTAAGAGTGGATCACTTACATATCTCTTCTCTTTCATCCGTTCTACTCTGTCTACAGGAAGCAAACAATAACTTACACCTTTTTTAAAAAGTCTAGAAAGAAATGAATTTATTTGTTTATGTAAAAAGTGTTAAGGTTAGTATTTTGGCTTACGGAAATATAAAACATTAAATGGGCTACTTAAGACAAAGGACTAGTTGGTCTTCTTTATAAGCATACAAGATCTTCATTTAAAAAAACACTGATAGTTTGCTTTATTGTGTTAATCTTCTACTTTATATTTTTTGCTTCCTTGGATTGTATTTTTTACTGGAATTGTATCTACTAGTTAACTGATGGATTAGAGTATTTGGGAGCTGTTGAAGTAGCAGCCATCCTCTTAGCCATCCTTATTACTTATGGTTTCTAATTTTTCTTTTTCTAAGGCACTTTTGAAAGTCAATATATTTCTAGTAAAGTTCTAAAGTGGCTTTTAGGGCTGTAGTCTTCAAGTAGAGGAATGGGATGATTTTTGAAAAACAATATTTTTCACAAGCGTCTTCATGTAGAGGAATGGAATGATTTTTGAAAAACAATATTTTTGTTTCCTTATTTCATTCTGTTGCTCTCGAAGTCCTAAACAATTGCTTTAGAAATCCTGAAGTAATGAAAAAATAAAATAGAATGGAGGCCTCAAAAGAAAATCATTGAGTTAAGTAAAAAAATTCTACCTGTGTATTTGTTCTAGTCCAACTTTGTCATTATATTTAAGCATTAATATATTGGCAAAGAATTTTAAAATACCTGTACAAATTGTTAATCTTTCACTTTAGAAAAAGTGACTTTCTTCAAGAAGTTTGAACATCTGCATTTCAGTAAGAATTAAGGGTTAGGAAAAGAAACTTTAGATTGTCAGAAACTTTAAATTATCCAATTTCTAAACAAACATTGCAAATACTTTGTGGTATGGATAGAATCAGTTTATTAAACAAATATACAGAACAGTGTCTTTATTTTTGGTATCTTGGTAAAAGCTTCAATCTTGTGGATTTTTTCAATTTAGGCCCTTGCTTCTGGACAACATAACTGTACTTATGTGGACTGCTTTTCCAGAGAGCCTCTTTAAAACCCACTTGCAAATACAAGAGCAGTGAAACCATAACTGCCATGTTATCTGACCATAATGATAGGGATAGATTTCCAATTGCAGCCATGAGTTAAAAGAAACACTCCAACTGTGAGGACTCCAAGATGTTTTTCCCTGACATTTGCCCAGCATCACAGATTAGAAGGACAAAATTTGCCAGGCTTG